GACACCGACCCGCCGACTGACACAGGCGCCGACATGACAACCTGGCTCAGACACCGACCCGCCGACTGACACAGGCACCGACCTGACAACCTAGCCCAGACACCGACCCACCGACTGACACAGGCGCCAACCTGACAACCTGGCCTAGACACCGACCCGCCAACTGATACAGGCGCCGACCTGACAACCTGGCCTAGGTGCCGACCTGGCCGCCTGACACAAGCGCCAGCCTGACAATCTCGGGGAGTTCACCACCGTACCCCGGTTCTGACAGGATATGACGAGTCTTATCGTTTGAAGGCTTTTCACCCACCTAACCCGCGAGGACACCACTATATAAGGACTCCGATCTTCAAAGCCAAGGGGAGGGAAAAAATGATGGTAACCCCTGCTCTCTAGCTCTCTCATTTTTTTCCAAGCTCTCTGTAATCAGAATGCTAACTTAGGCATCGGAGAGTCCCCACCGGGAAAATACCCCCGGGTCCTCTGATTCAGTTCTCGCAGGTCCCTCAGCTCCCGCCGCCTACAAAGGAGAGGAAATCACTTCATGCAGAGGGCAATCGGGTTGCGCTGCACCAGGGAGCTCCATCACCCTCTGAGTTGCAGGCCGCCTAGGAGCATGTCAAATGACGAGTCCACCAAGCAGTTCTCCCCCGGGGAGTTCACCACCAGGGAGCTCGCCACCAAGTAGCTCTCCACCAGGGAGCTCGCCACCAGGCAGTTCGCCACCAGGCAGCTCGCCACCAAGCAGCTCGCCACCAGGCAGTTCTCCACCAGGGAGTTCGCCACCAGGCAGTTTGCCACCAAGTAGCTCTCCACCAGAGAGCTCGCCACCAGGCAGTTCGCCACCAGGGAGCTCACCACCAGGGAGTTCACCACCAGGGAGTTCGCCACCAGGCAGTTCTCCACCAGGGAGTTCACCACCAAGCAGTTCGTCACCAAGTAGCTCTCTACCAGGGAGCTCGCCACCAGGCAGTTCTCCACCAGGGAGTTCGCCACCAAGTAGCTCATCACCAAGGCACGTCACCCCCGGGTCAAATAACGAGGTACTTAGCCAAAAAAATTTATACATCACAAAAAAATAGTATATGACCAAAAACGATTACATCAACTACCATTGCACAACACAAATGTTTGAATTTTTCTCTTTAACAGATGAATAACCCAGTAGACCCAAAGTGCAATAGATGGCAATCACATATTTTGATGTGTGTCGAACTACTTTGTTCTTCATGTGGCTTCATGTTGAGAAGTTGTCATATATCATCCCTTCACCTCATTTCCCAAGTCAAATTTAATCTTCCATTGTTAACACCTCTACTATCCACAGTAATCTCTTAGCTTCTTATAATTGTCGACGCTCACCCTTTTCTATATCAATTCAAAATTTCAAATAGCAACTTGCAAAACATATTACAAGCCATGGCCCTTCTAATCATATGTACAATGAAGTTATGGTGTTTTAGGAGTACAATCCTTATATTATACTAAAAATTTTTCATTCTAAATCAAAATTATATTTGCTTTTGGTTCCACGCAACTCGTAAAAGTCCCTATTGCCATATATCACATACAGTTAATACTTGATTGGAAATGTGCAAATCTTGTACTCTTACCCATATATGCATATTTACCCATCATTCTCTTATTTCTCACATATGTACATGTATACTTTTAAGTTAAATCATTAAAGATATAAGAAGGCAAACTTAAAACTCTCATTGGGTTTCTTTATTTTTATTTTTAAAGTTGAACAAAATTACTCAAGTAGCCACTCAAGTTTAAGTCTTTAGATTTTTCGTCTCTCCTCATTAACTCACCATTAACTCTCTATTCTCTTTTTCATTTACTTCTTTGAAAATCTCTCCTCATTAATCCTTCCATTAACTCTCTCTTTTTCAACAACTCACTTCATTAATTCTCTCTTCTCTCAATTACTCAATTAAATTGCTTATAATTCATTTACTCTTTCTTATTTTTTTCCTTTTCTATTTTATCCTCTCTCCTCTCCTCATTAATTTACTAAACCAAAAGCAATATGCTTAGGGGTGACCATTTTAGTCCGGCCTAAGCCTAGGTCCGCATCAGGCCTAAAAATTTTAAGGCCGACATTGGCCCCAACCCAGCCCAAAAACAAATAACAGTTTAAAAATTAGTTAATAAAAATATCATAAGTAATTAAATCACCTTAAAATAATGAGAGAGAATGAGAGAATTCTAAAACATAGGTCCCACCCCTTCCACCATTAACTTATCTTAGCATATTTCTATATGCCTTTTTCATTATTAACCTATTGTATTCCAAAGAGAGAGAATT